AGTACTGCATTGAAGTGCAGAGGAAATTTGTGTTTTAAAACAAGGCGTAAGTGATTGCAGAACATCTGAAAGTGATTTCAGAAAACAACCTTAGGAACAGTCGGACAAGTCAATTGGAAACAGTAATTTCCACAATGCAGAAAATTAACTCACTTCATGAAGAATTTGTTTTTCTTCAGCTGGTGTTGGTCCAATGGCAGATAATGCCCTGCCAACACTATCAATAAACTCATCACATTCACTAAGTGTTGGTTTTCCTTCTGCCAGCCATTGGCCAATATCAAACTGGAATGCAGAAAGCTGTTAGACTTTTTACCCTTACTTAAGAGGGCGCTGCTCCGTGATAATACTGTGATCATACTCCATAAAATACAAGTAACAAATCACCTTTGAAAGAAGCACAAAACTGAGATCAGAGTTGGGCTGAACAGAAACGTCCACCACAGACTTGTACATGGTAAGAAAAACTGGGGTAGCGGCAACAGTTGGTGTAAAATGAGGTCCCAAAAGCCCAGCAAGGCGGGGGTGCTGAACCATACATGATAAAAGGCGCTCACACTCACATTCTTCACCACTGATGAATACCTATCAGCAAATTTCAAGGATGAAAGTAACATTAACAAACTATAAAAACAAAGTACATCAAGAAATTTTGTATTTGTACTTACCTGTCCCAAATTTTCCAAGCAAGTGGTGAACAACTGTTTAGTGGGAGGGTATACTGCAAGATCCTCATTGTATCTTGAGACTAAATGATAGAAGAGCTCCACACCAACATTACGTACTCTATGAGCAGATTGGGCTTCAGTAACCCCTTGATTTTGTAAGCTTAGATATTCGTCAGTAAGGCCTTTGATTGACTGTTCAATTTGAACACTGCTTGCACAGACTTTGAGTGGTGGCGGTTGCATTGCTCTTGTTATGAGGGCTTCACAGTCAGTGCGGTTTTGAGTTATCATGTGTTCTGTCCTTTCACTGACACGGGCTTCCCGAATCTACAGATCAAGACATACACTACTCATCTGATGCAAAACTAGAATCATGATAATTTTCAACTCTTAAAAACTTACTTTTATACGAATAGTTGCAGGACCAGCACAGGTCACAGTATTGTGATGGCTATTGGCATATCCCTCACTTTGACATGTAGCCTGAAGTGTGACTTCAGTCTTCACATCCGAATAAAGGGATGGTACAATTTGTAAAAAGCTGCAATCAAGTGCATTGTGTTCAGCCATACGGAGAGCATAAAGCTGAGCATATTCTAATACAATACGGAGTGATTCTCGAAGAGCTTCAAATGTTGCATTTTGACTTTGAAATGTCTCAGGCTTGAGTGGAGGAAGAACAGCTTTGCTAGATTTTAGATCAGGTGGCCCCTTAGGAGTATCATATGATTGCAGTCTAAAAAATGTTTTTTGAAAAATCATGGCAGAATTAGATGACAAAATTAAAAAGAAATAAAACTTCAAAAGCTTTAGGATATACATTGACGTACTTACCTCATCAAAATGCGTTCAATAGGGTTCTTTCCTTCATCTCGAGAATGGCTGAATACAGGTAATTGTTTTGAATCTACAGAGGGAGAGTTTGGGCAAATGGTACGAAATTGGGATGATTCCCATTGCTGTGCCGATTTTTTCTGTTCCTCTATAATTGACTTGTAATCCAAAAATTCAAGCCACAGTGTCTGTTTTTCAAGTAAAGAGATTCATGGTCATTTAACTCTGAGAAACTGTTCAAACAGGAATGTTGGTTCATCTTTCTCCTTCACTCACCTTATCTCCCTGAAGAATAGAAGCTAATTTTTCTGCATTGTAGAGGGGCGGTAAAGCAGGCAGGTAAAGAGTTGCTTCATGCAGCCGAGGCTCCTCAAGCCAAACACCTAAAGTCCATATCATCCTGCAGAAGTAATCATGATTAGATTAAACTAAGGGTTCAGAAGAATAAATAAATCTGAAGAAAATGATTAGAGAATCAGTTATTACTTTGATGTACTTTCAAGCCATGAGTGTCTCTCAGCATCTTCAGCTTTACACTCATCCATTGATGTCCAGTAGTATTCTTTGCATTCTTGTAACTTCTTCTTAATACGCTTCAAGTATATAAGGTTTAGCATACCCTCAAAGAACTTAGGGCCAACTCCTCCAACTCCTTGACCTCTGTAAGGGAAAGTGAGAAAAAAACATAATTTGTGGTAAATATGTAACAAAATCCAATGGATGAATTGAAGAAGTACTCACGAAGGTGAGGGAATCCGAGCTAAAAACTGTAAAAAGAACTTTTGCCAGAACAGAGGAAGCAGTGGATGATCTAAAGGTGTGTCAAGAGCCTGTTGCGACCAGCGATATATGCTCAGCATTGTTGAGGGTGGAACAGGTCGTTTGAGAGTATGACAGGCTTTCTAAAACAGCAAAATGAGTAGATGTGACACACAAATTCAATTTAGACTTTACCAACAAGATAAAAACCAAGCATGAAGGAAAGAGCCATATTTACAGTACCTTAAGTGCAGCATCAACTGATGGTTTGCCAGTCATTGAAGCAAGTTCCTTCTGAACTTCTCTCCATAAACCAGTTTTTTCTTCCAGTTCCTCCTGTTCAATCTCAAGAGCAAAAAAAGCAAACCAAGGACCTTCAGGGCAAGAAGTTCCAGGAAGAAGAGGAGATCCAACAATTCCACCAGAAGAAACCCAACTCATGATTGAAGAAAGGGTTCCACCTTGTTTGGAACCCTGTCCATTCTGAAAGAAAAGAAAAAT